TATTTATGGCAAACAACCTGTTTGCTACATGTGTTCCCTGAGTTCAGGGATCAGTGCTCAGTCACCAGGGATTCCAATGAAGCTTAATTTATTTAGGGCAGACTTCCTGCCTCTTTTGATGATGGGGTAGGTAATTTGTTCATCTTACTTTAATTGGCAGTTAGAATGATCCAGCTGTACCCTAATGCAGACATAATTCAATTGTCTTCATTAGTTTTATCCACCTTATTTCTCTTTGTTCCAGATCTCCAGATATCTCCTTGTGTTTATAACTTTGAATTGGCTGAGGAAGGGTCTTTCAATATGTGAAAAATATTTTTGACTTGTAAGATATTATTATTAGGATATTAAGACAGAACCTCAATGCATATGTTAACTGTAGTGGAAAAGAAGTACCTCTTAGTCATAACTAGACTAGTTAATATTTCCTTTTTGGAGTAAATAGTCATAGAAACTTAACAGTTTCAGAGTTGGATGGGAGCCTAGTTGCTGTGTAGTGAAACTCATGCCCAGAATAAAAATCCTTGTTACAGTATTTCCAGCAAGTCCTTAGGTTCCAATCAGAATCTTAGTGAAGAATATTAATGAAAATGATGGTGGGGTAGTAGCCTTTCCTTCCACAGACACAGTATTTTTAGGTGGTTTGCTAGGGTAATGGGAGATTCTGAGATTTTAGTAGAAGAGGAATTGAGAAAATTTTTCTTACATAGACTAATGTCCTGCCATTATCATGGAGGTTCAGTCTATGTAGCACCTGAAGAGCTCACAAGTGGGAGGAAAAAAAATAGCTGGACAGATATTAATCATAAATGTTTTCGTGAAAGAGTAGAAAATCACAATTCCTTCTTTTCCTTTAGTACCAAGGAATGAATGACTCTCTGAATTAAAAACAATTAATTCAGAATGCTGTGAAAACTGGGTTTGCATTGGGTACTGAGTGGAAACTGAAAGTCTAATTTGAAGTGTATACTACCTTTAGGATTTAAAAAAATCAAATAATAGAACTTGAAAGACATCTTTGATGCTTATTTGATCTAGGTACCTATTTTCTGGAAAATGATTTTCCTTGGCCATTCAGTGAATATGATTGCAAAGTTTCCTAGAATAGATGATAATTTATTATTTCCTTGAAAATTTCTAGGGAAAGGGGCTATAACAGATGGAAAGTTTTTTTTTTTAATGTTCTTAAAATGTACCATAGGACAGTCAGGTGATGGCCTCAGTTTCTTCATCTATCAGATGAGCTGGAGAAAAAAATGACAAACCATTCTAGTATCTTTGCCAAGAAAATCCCAAATGGGGTCGCAAAAAGTTAGGCATGGCTGAAAACCACTAAATAAAAACAGTGTACCATGTATGCCTTGTGCTAAGTGCTAGTGATACAATAGAAGGTAATGCAATTTCTGCCCCTAAAGAACTGAACACCTCTTTGAAAAAAACAACATTTGTAAAAGAGATCAGCTAAGTGGACCAATGGATAGAGCTGCTGTGCCTGGAGTCAGGAATACTTGAGTTCCAATTTGACTACAGACATTTACTAGTTGTGTGACCTTGGGGAAGTCAGTTGAGCTATGTTTCTCTCTCAGTTTCCTCGGTTAGAAAGTGGGGATAATAAATACTCCTGCCTCACATGGTTGTGAAGATCAAATCAGATTCTTAGGATGTATCCTGAGGTGTCTGCTTCACAGGAGCAACTTCCTACAAATTGGAAGGGGAAAAGGAGTCTGAATTTCCTTTGGTGCAGGGGTCATGGGTGAGGAAGTCAGTGTCTAGCCAAAAGGGCTATTGACAGGAAAGTTGGGGAGGGAGTTCTAGGGTAGAAAAGGGTGAAGACAGTCTTATTTGGTTTGAGCTCAGTTTCTTGATTACAAGTTATTTCCTTTAATCCAGCCAACTGTTTAGTGTTTCATTGTATAAGACTTACTGCTGGCTCATTTTTTTTTTCATGTAAATGAATGGCTTTTTCTTGAAATGTTGCTTCTGTCATTTTTTTTCTAAATTAATTATTACAGCTAAAATTCATGTAGCTCTACTTGGAAAATAGCCCTCTGTCTTGCACTTTTTTTTTTTTGGCTTGGCAGTGGGGTTAAGTGACTTGCCCAGCGTCACACGGCTGGTTAAGTGTCAACTGTCTGAGGCCAGATTTCAGCTTGGGTCCTCCTGACTCCAGGGTATCCATTGCATCACCTAGCTGCCCCCAATAGCCCTCTTCTTACATCACTTTATAAACATCAGTAATTTTAATGTTGAGCATGCATTAAAATTGAATCTTTGATATAAAAAAGAACATGTCTATGAAGCATACTTTTCTGTGAAATGACATTTTAATTTTAATTTTTCCCTAAGGATTGATATTATTTTGACATCAGTATAGTATGTCAATAAAAGATAGTTGAAGAAAACACTTATCTTCACCAAACGAAGGAAATATAATCATGGTAGCCAAAAATAATGTACAGTAATTGTATGTTTTCAGGTTACTATATATTTGATTATTCTTATAAATACTTAAAGAAATCTTCCATTGATATCCTTAGTTTTAGGTGTATAAATGAGTCATAGAAAACAGTTACAAATCCACACTGTTGAATAATTTTTCTAGCTGTGTTTAATAACTCTGATTGGACTTAATATTTTTTCACTTAGAATAATAGTGGAAATAAAAATTGCCACAGAGAAAAACTGAAGACACCATTTACTAATAGAAACTTGTTAGGGATAAGAAACTCAGGGGAAAGCAATAAGGTAGGACAGGTTGTTTAATAGCTTATATTTGGGGGTTTGTATCTTCTTTTTTTTTATGTTCTAGACTTCCGACAGCCTGGCAAAAAGTATGAACCCCTTCTGACAATAATGTTTTTAAATGCATAGAATAAGATATATAGGATTACAAAGGAAGCTGGTTATATTGAAATACAGTTCTATCTATCTGTCTGAAAGTTTACAGACGCTAGGTTAAAAACTTCTGGTCAATGAATGAACATTTATTAAATCCCTTCTGTGTGCCTAGACACTGTGCTAAGTAAGGGGGAGTTATAAAAAGAGGCAAAAGACCTTGCCTGCTCTCAAGGAACTTAACATTTAATGGGAGTGACAACATGCAAACAAATATATAAAAAGCAAGCTACATACGGGATAAATACAAAATAATTAACACAGGGAAGGCTTCTTCATGAACAGAAATTATTTAGAATGTATAATGCATTTATGTACCTTACTTTAACCTACTTAAATATATTCTCATCTTGAGCAAATCTTATTCAACAAAACTCATGAAATTTTAGCTTATTCCAGTGCAAAATCTTCTATTTTTTCTGATTGTCTTACAGTATTCTTGGTCTATATTTTATAGTGTAGGAGTAAAGACTATATTGTCAATTAAACATTTGTAAGCTCTTTGAGAGAATGAACCTATGATTTGAACTTTTGTATCTCTCACGGCCTCTCAGCCAATTCTGAAGATGCGGAACATGCTCAGACATATTCTGTTGAATTATTTTCAGATCAGGCTATCCTAACAACAGTTTGTAAATTGGAAAGCAAGATGATGTTTAGCTATAATAGAAAGGATAGACCAGTAAAATCATCTAAAGTATTTGGTATTCAATTCAGTCAGTGCAGATTCAATTTAATAGCTATTAGAGACCTACTATGCACAAAGCACACTGTACTTGGGCCAATGAATACAAATTGAAAGCAAGATAATAGTTGTATTCAAGGGAAGTTTGTAATGTAATGGGGAGAGTAGCTATGTCTACAAATGTATTCCAATAATAGATTGTGGTTGAACCCAAAGAGAGGATTAGGTAAAGGGCCATATAAAATTAGCGGCAGGAGCAAATCCTTTCGGCTGGACATAATGAAGGAAGACATTATGGAGTAGCTGGCAAAAAGCCTTGGCCTTGAGGGAAGAGAAAGGTCCCAACCTAGAAGGAATGCATTTCTAGGAAGGAAGGACTATGTGAGCAGAAGAATAAGGGAAAAAGAGGATATGATTAGCAAACACTCAGTGGTGCTATTTGACTAGATCATAGGTTGAATGAAGGGGAATAGAATGAATTAAGCTTTGAATGGTATTTTGGAATTACATTGAATTATCTTAAGACTAAGGAATTTTCTTTTTGTCCCATGGGTAATGGGAACCAATAAGGGTTTCTGTGAAGAGGGAGACACTGATAAATAACTGTGTACCAGGCACTGCACAGATACACAGTTAAACTATAGATTCCAGATTTATTTAAAATGCTAGAGGAAAATAAATTTTAGTAAGCAAAGTAACAATTGCTATGTGTTGACTGATTTTTTTTTTGATTCTGTAGTATTAACCTTGATTGAGATGTTTAAATAATAACTTACTGCTGTTAAAGGATGGATATGAAGAATTATTTTCTATGTTTCTGGGATTTTCTGTTTTTTACACAACTGCCTATGTTTTGTTGTTGTTGTTGTTTTTAGAGAGAATACTTCACATAATATAATTGCCACATTGTTATGTATGGGCCTTACAGCGTAATAGAAGGAGATGAGGAGGAAAAAAGTCATGTACAAAATTAAAGATGATAATAGTAGAATGTGATAAGACCAAAAGTGAAGGCAAAGTAAGGAACTGTATAAAATTTAAGGAGGATGAGGGGACTTGCATCTAGGTGACACAGTAGATAAATCACTTGAGCTGGAGTTATGAGGATCTGAGTTCAGATATGGACTTGGATACTTACCACATAGTAAGGATCACATAATCCCCCAAAATTCACTTAACTTCTGTTTGCCCCATTTTCTTCATCTTTAAAATATAGACAATGACAATACCTACCTCCTAGAGTTGTTGTGAGGATAAAAATGAGAATGTTTGTAAAGAGCTTTGCAAACCTTAAAGAACTATGTAATTGCTGTTATCATCATCATCATATAACTTTCTATTTTAAAAATATTTAAGCATATCTGTACGTTACAAATTGTAGCTTGTTTGTTTTTTCTTTCTTTCTTTCTTTCTTTTCTAGTTTAACTTCGTTGGAAAACTTTTGGGTCCACGTGGCAATTCACTAAAGCGTTTACAAGAAGAAACTTTGACCAAAATGTCCATTCTTGGAAAAGGTTCCATGAGAGACAAAACAAAGGTAATAGACTTAGAGAACTAAATAATGAGAGCCAGAAGGAATCTTAGAAATCATAAATCATTTATTCTAATTCCCCAATTTTACAGATGTAAAAACTAAGGCCCAGAAGGTGGATTTAGGTTCATAGATCTAAAATGTGATGGAACCATTACTAAAAATTAAGTCATCATTTTCCACTGCTCTTTGCATAGTCATATGTCAGATAAATAATGGAGTCAATTTTTTACAGTTAGGACTTTTTATTTTTAATTATAAATAATTATAAATTAATTATATAAATGTAATTATATACATAATTATAAATTAAGGTTTTGGACTGGAAGTCAGGAATAAGTGGTTTCAAATCTGACCTTAGACACTTACTAGCTTTGTGACCCCCGGCAAGTCACTCAGCCTCTGTTTTCTCATGTATAAAATGGAGATAATAATAGTACCAACCATCTAGAGTTTCTGTGAGATTCAAATGAGGTATTTGTAAGGTACTTTATAAACCTTAAAGTTACATAAATACTAGTTGTTCTTCTTATGTTCTTTCCATTACATCTTTCTTACTCTCATTGCTCATTGTCCAATACTGCTGTTAGAATTCTGCATACCTTTTATTAAGATAGTATAAAGTATCTATGTGTGTGTACTTGTGTATGTGTGTGCATTTAAATTCTGAATGAATTCTGAGAATTAAGTCTGAATTAAACCTAGAAGAAGCTGAGGAAGAGGTGATTTGTCTTTTGTGTCTCCAGGCCTTTTTTTACTTCATAGCACTCCTACCATCTTCCAGGGTGCACAAGTGTTCAGGGAAGACTAGTACTTCTTGTGTGAGGGCTGCCCAGCCCTTTTTAGGGCTGCTTTTCACCTTTGGTGTCCACCTGGTACCCGCATCTCCCCTGTGGCTCCAAGAAGCTGTAGCAATGTGCAGCAGCCGCACCCCAGTAAAACCTCAACCTGGTTTAGCATAACCGAGGGGCCTCAAAGCCATTGGTAAGTAAGGTGTCTGCACCACACATGTGAAATCTTCCACAATAGAATAGGCAGATGTAAACAGTTTGTTCCAAAAGACCTTAAAGCCAGTGAAAGCAGGTGCTCTGGAGCACTTAAAGCTTGGTTAGATACCAGAGATCCCAAGGTATCTACTGCATCCCAAGTCATCGCCAGTTATCCTGATTTTTGTCACACTGTAGGACTTTGAAGACACTAGAAGAGAGAGTGAGAGAAGTAAATGACTTCATGCAACTGCCTCACCTAAGTCCAATATGAGTCAAAAGACATCACCCATACCGTTTTACCGTTTTTACCTACCTCAGAGTCCTGTGGTGATGGGCAAGTGACAAAGAAGCATACACTGGAGCTGTAGTCACAAACCTGTACACTGGCAGCCCCGGCTGAAAGGTCATGTTCCCACTGCACTGAAGCAGCAGTGGGATTCAGCAGCCCTCTGGGTGTTGAGCAGCCTTTTTTAAGGACCACACTGCTCATCTCCTGGTGAGAGGAAGGAGCTTGAAAAGTTGCCGTAGAAGTTGTCTATTTCACCTAACCTAACCCTGCCCTGGTTGCCACAGTGGGCAGGGATCCTACCTTGTAGTTGAAACAAAACAGTATTCAAAAACTTTTGCAAAGATGATTCCACTCACTGTTGATATGGGGATGTGCACATGCTTATGGACATTAGACCTGAAAAACAAATAGCTCTTGTTGCAAGAGAACCCAACAAGTATCCCATCCAAAGAGCAGCCCTGATTGAAACAACTGAGGCAAATGAAGGCCAAATTACCTGACTCAGAGTTGGATACATGTATTTCTGAATGGGAATGTGCCATGAAACTGGCTTGGGTGTTATAATCAAAATTAATCCAGTCAGCAAGTTTGTATGCCTCCCAAAAAGAGTAAACAATAGGCTCATGACGGTGCAGTTGCCCACTTTCAAGAAAGTGCTATGCTACCATCGTTAGTGGGAATGATCTTGCCATGCTAAACTCTGATGTAGCCAAAGTAAAATTTTATGAAGACCTGAAGACCTTCATCATCAGTGTGCCAGAGGGGACAAGCTTGTAATTCTGGGTGACTTTAATGCCAGAGTGAGCATAGACTATCAGACTTGGCAAAGACTCCTTGGGAAGAATGGAGTTGGAAACAGCAATAGCAACAGCAACAGCCACTTACTACTGAAAACTTGTGCGTCTCATGAACACGTCCTCATCACCAACACTATCTTCTGTTTACCTAAATTTACATTAATTTTTGTGAATGCACCTTTACAGCAAACATTAGCGTCTAATAGACAATGTCATTGTAAACAGAAGAGACAGAATGTGAGAGTGATGAAGACAATGTGTGATGCGATATCTATGATCTATTGTGATCATAGACTTAGCCTGTCCAATCTAAACATTTCAATCAAAGCAGCGGCCCCAAGGCAAGACAACTGCAGAAGACTTTATGTCAGCAGTTTAGAGCACTTCTCTTTGATCGAACAGTTTGTTACTGACTTGGAGGGAAAGCTGAGCCAACATACAGTTGTCAATAGTGGAGTAAAAAAGGAGTGGGCAGATTTCAGAGATTTGGTGTACAACATTGCATTTACTTGTCTAGCTAGGTCAGAACATTGGCAGACGTCAAGATTGGTTTGATGAAAATGTTAGGGAAATTCAGAAGCTACTAAATGAAAAACAATAACTGCAGAGTTTACCAGCAGGATAGTTCATCCATTTCTAAGAAGGCAGAGTTTAACTCGATCAGAAGTGTAGTGTGAGTGAAGACTAGAGAGTTGCAGGATTCCTGGAGCAGCAAGAACGTAGATGAAATTCAGTTTTATACTGGTAATAACAATTCAAAGAGCTTTTATGATGCCCTAAAGGCTATTTATGGACCAAAGACTGATGGTGTATCTTGGCTTCTCAGTTTTGATGGAGCCACACTGATTAGTGATAAGGAGAAAATCCTGGAGAAATGGGCTGAGAACTTTCCATAGCCTTCTCAACAGACTGTTATCAATGCTGAAGCTGTTGACTGTATTCAGGTTGAAGTCAGTCCCTCCCTAGCTGAACTTCCAACTGGAGAAGTTTTGAATGCCATCCAACTCCTCTGTTGTGGCAAAGTGCTTGGTGCTGATTTTATTCTAGTTGAGTTTCACCAGGCGAGTGGCTCTGCTGACTGAAATCTTCTGGGTTATATGGCAAAAGATGGATATCCATTAGGAGTTCAAGGATGCCTCCATTGTCCCTCTCTGTAAAGGAAAAAGAAAGAGGTTGGTTGTCTTGTGGCAATCACAGGGGAGAGTCTCTCTTAGTCATTGCTGGCAAGATTCTTTCCAGAGTTCTCCTTGATAACCTGATCCTTCACCTGGAAGATGGTCTTCTACCTGAGAGCCAGTGTGGTTTCAGAAAGTTCTGGGGAATGCTCAACATGGTGTTTACTGCCCAGCAACTCCAAGACAAATGCAAGGAACCTAGCAGAGGTCCATACACAACGTTGGTTGATCTGACCAAGGCCTTTCATACTGTCAGTCTTGAGGGCTTGTGGAAGATCGTGGCAAAATTTAATTGCCTGGAGAATTTCATCAGTATTATGTGCCATTTCCATGATGGAATGCTTCCACAGGTTCTGGATACTGGATGATGCTCTTTTACTTTCCCAGACACCAATATAGTGAGCAAGATTGTGTGCTTGCTTCCATGCTTTTTAGCATGATGTTTTCAGCAGTGTTGTCAAATGCCTTCAGTAAGGGCAAAAATGGCATCAAGATCAGCTACTGCACTGACAATGGGTTATTTAACTTAAAAGGGCTACAAGCCAAGACTAAAGTAGAGGGAGAGTTGGTGCTCGGACTTTTTGTTCACAGATGGTTGTACTCTCAGTACAACCTTTGAGACTGAGATGCAATAGAGTATGGATCAGTTCTCTGCTGCTTGTGCTAATTTTGGCCTGACAATACCAAGAAAACACAGGTTCTCCACTAGCTAGCGCTGCACCATCCACTGATTACAGCAAACACAGAATTTTTGAAAGCTGTGTATAAGTTCACTTACCTCGACAGTATACTTTCCAGGGATGTACACATAGATGGTGAGGTTGCCACATGTGTTGTCAGTGTTTGGAGGCTCTAAAGGAAAATGTGGGAGAGAAGAGATGTTAGAGAGTGCCTACCAAACTGAAGTCTACAGAGCTATTGTGTCAGCCTCATTGTTGTTTGCCTTTGCAACCTGGACAGTCTACCAGTGCCAAATCAGGAAACTGAATTGCTTCCATTTGACTTATCTTAGGAATATTCTGAAGATCAGCAAGGTCCTGGATGCTGAAGTCCTTTTTTGAGCTGAATTGCCAAGCATTCAAGCTCTGCTGCACAACTCTGATGGACTGGCCATCTTTTTTGAATGCCTAGAAGACTATTTTATGGAGAATTCACACAAAGCAGGTTATCACATGATGGTCAGAAGAAGTGATAGAAGGACACTCTCAAGGTCTCTCTGAAGAACTCTGGTTTTGATTATCACTGGCACAGGATTGTCCAGCATGGCATGCATGCATCAGTCAAAGAAGGTGCTGTGCTCTATGAGCAAAGCAGAATTCCTCCAGCTCATATGTGAGATGCACAAATTTAGAGACATCTCCATCCCAAATGTTCATATGGACTAATTGTGCCTGACCTATGACAGAGTCTTTTAAGTTCGTATTGTCTGAACAGTCACATTTGGATACACTGTACTTTGACCTTGACATAATGATGCCATTTTGATCCTCTTCAAACACAAAGGACAACAGCTAGCCATCTTCCAGTGTCCAGTGCCTTGGTGATGTATCTTTTCACTGCCCTAGGAAAGGCTCTAATGAATTTTTCTGTTAATTCAAGTGCTGACACTGCTAAGTCTTATCCTGAAGTTCTTGTCATTGGAGATATTAATGTAAGCTAGATCACCACTTGGCATTGATAATAGACTATAAGGATTGAAGAAACATTCAAGATGAACAGTTCAGTATGATTATATATCATTAAGGAAAATGAAACTCAGCATTTAGACAATTCAAACAAGGTCACCCAGGTAGAAATGTCTGAATTACAATCAAGTTCTTCTGACTGTATAACTAGTACTTTTGTTGTCATAGAGGAGATTCTTGCTTCTGATAGAAGATAAACTAATAATAACTAAAAATTTCATAGAGGCTGGCTGGCATTTCATGGACTTCCAAACTATGCTTACCTGAGAATCTACTTTATGACCTATCTAACAAGTTGTTATCCAGCCCATTCCTGAAGATCTCTAGACAGGAGAACCACTGCCAGCCGAGGTGGTGTATTCCACAGTTGTATAGTGTTGTATTTTATAGAGAGGCAAAAATCTCCATTTTGAAGTTCCACTCATTCTACCCTTTGGGCCAAAGCGGATGAAGTCTAGTTCTTCAGTAAGACGGCCATTCAAATACTTAATAGCTTTTTTGTTACCACCAACTTTCTCTTCTAAACATTGTGAGTTATTTCAGACTGTCTTTGAATAAGCAGCATCATCTTGGTTCTCTTTGCAAACCCGATTGCCCTTCTCTGGGTGTTTTATGTAATACCAATGTCTTTCCTAAAATGTGCTACCCACAACTGAATATATCACTATAGATATGTTTGGACAGAAGCAGAACACAGTGGAATTATTACTTCTCTGGCCCTATTTAGCCTAAGATTCTCTTATATTTGGTTCACTATTCTGCTTCGGATTTTTTCTTTCTGGATACTGATCCAGTTGTATAATGTGTCCCTATGATTTCTAGTCTTGCCCCATCTCTAATTTATATTTACATAGTGTTGTAATGTTTGGAAAGCAAATTGGTGGATATAGTGTTGGACTTGGAGTCAGAAAGACCTGAATTCAAATCCTGCCTCAGACCCTTACTAGCTGTGGGCAAGTCACCTAACCTCTCCTAGCCTTACTTGTGACAAAACCTACTATATCAGTTTATTGTGAGACCAAAAGAAATCATATATGTAAAGTGCTCTGCAAATACAGAAGTTCTATAAAATGCTATTGTTATCATTGCTGATTTCATATACTAACATATAAGAATGTGTCATAATTTTTTAAAAACTATTCTGCAAATCATCGATGACAGTGGTGGGGAACCTGCAACCTTGAGGCCACATTGCGCCTTCCTTGGGTGCAGCCTTTTGACTGAGTCCAATTTTACGGAACAAATCCTAAGGGGATTTGTTCTGTGAAGTTTGGATTCGGTCAAAGGGCCACACTTAAGGAGCTAGAGGGAGGGCCACATGTGGCCTTGAGGCCATAGCTTCCACACCTCTGATCTATGACATATATTTTAAATTATGAATTGTCTTGTAGAAAAAATTTTTGTCTCTTAAAAGAACTATCACTCTCCATTAAGTAAATAGGACAACTTCAGGTGAGGAGTAAGGAAATTGTCTCCCCTCTGCCTTATAATAATAGTAGACTACAATCTAGTTGCCCCAAGTGAGTTCAGTTTAATTGTCCTAGATGAAAGAAACCTGTGGGTACTGAAAAGAACTGATACTTAAGATTATTGATCTTCTATCATTTATCCTTGAAAGATTTTAGAAAATGGGAGAAATGCAGTAGAACTTGGGTATGGTAGGTATCCTAATTTTTAATAGATTATAGACTGGATTCTACAAATTATAAACTCAATGACTTTGTCTTTTATTCCTGATAAAATTCTAGAATACATTATTTAAAGGATACTAGGGAAGCAATGATCATTCAAAGATGGAATGGTTTCATGAAGATAAGTCATACTAGGCTAACTTCATTCCCCGTTTTGATAGAGAAACTAGTCTTGTAAATAGTTAATGCTGTTGGCACAGTTGTTGTTCAGTTGTTTCAGTAGCATTTTACTCTTTGTGACCCCAGTTGGGCTTTTCCAGGCAAAGACACTGGGGTGGTTTGCCATTTCCTTCTGCAGCTCATTTTTATAGATAGGAAAACTAAGGCCAACAAGGTAAAGTACTTGCCCAAGGTCACACTAGCAAGTGTGTGTGTGGTCAGATTTGAACTCAGGTCTTCCCGACTGTAGGCCCATGCTCTATCCACTAGGCCATCCAGCTGCTCCAATAGTATTTCCATACAAATATTTCCAGATTTCTATAAAAACAGCTCCATGTTCAGACCCAGTGAATAGAAATTAATGATTTGATGTTATCCTGGAGGAAAGTTTCTACTGGAGTCTTCCAGTGATGTGTTCTTGGCCCTGTGCTGTTCTATATTTTTGCAGTGACTTCTATCCCTGTTAGAGAAGGCCTGTTCATCATTTTTCAACCTGAGCAAGATAAGTAATAACAGATGACATAATCAAGATCCAAAAAGTTCTCAGTAGAATAGATTGATGGGTAAACTTGAATAATAGTAATTTCATAGGGATAAATGTAAATTCTTATACTTAGCATATATATATATATATATGTGTGTTTGTGTGTGTGTGTGTGTGTGTGTGTGTGTGTGTATAAATATATATGTATGTGTATTTTTTCGGGGGGGGGCTAGGCAGTGGGGTTAAGTGACTTGTTCAGGGTCACACAGCTAGTAAGTGTTGTGTGTCGGAGGCCGTATTTGAACTCGGGTCCTCCTGAGTCCAAGGCCGGTACTCTATCCACTGTGCCACCTAAATGCCTTTATACTTAGCTTCTAAAGAAATAACTAAAAAGGTACAAGATATAGGAAATACAGTAGATGGCATTTAATCTAAGAAAGGTCTCCAGTTTTTAATTTATTGTAAATCAAATATTAATGGGAGTTTTGCATGCCCACAAAAAAATGCTGATGCTAACTTAAATTGCACCAAGAAGCATAGTTTCCAGAGTGAGAAAAGAAATAAATTTACCAAGTCAGACCATAGTTGGAATGCTATTTTCAATTTTTGGTACTACATCTTTAAAAAAAAAGATACATTAGATGGAACATACCTAGAGGTCTGGACAATATGCCATAAAAACATCAGTTTGAGAGAACTGCAGATGACTAATGAGAAGGAGAGAAGACTTAGGGCGAGTACATCTACTGTCTTGAAGTGTTTCAAAACTTTTTTATGTTACAGTAAAATTAGACTTGTTTTACATAGACTTAGAGTGTGATAGCTAGAGCAATTGGAAGATGCAGAGATGAAGGCTCAGACTTTTACAAGGAAAAATGTTGTTATTAGAATGACTGTAAAGTAGATAGGACTGCCTTGGGGGTGCCTTGTCCTTGAAGGTGTTCATGTGGAGGCTGGTAGCTCTTGGTCAGGGATGTAGAGTTGGACCCTGTATCCTCTGAAGTCCTGTCCAGCTCTTAGAATCGATGCTGCAGCCTTGCATACTACGCCTGGCTAATTACAGAGTCCATTTGATCTCTAATATGCTGCATTTCTTTGACTCTACTGTGATGATATCTGCAGGTATCATATTTTCTAATATTCACTTTGAAGACTCAATTTAAAAAAAAAAAGAATCGAGGTAAAGCCAACCCCTCACCCAATTTTTTTTGCTTCTCTTTATGTTTTACTATTTCAGTTGCTTTTGTTCCTTCAAAATATTTTTTGAAGAAAACTCAGTTTTATTCATGGTTACACAAAAAAGCCTTTGTAATAGTACTTGATTGCGTATGTTTAACCTCTAATTTAATTTTATAAAGATTGTGTTGGGTACTTAAGTTGATTTTCATTTAATCTTCTGTGACACTTCCTAAAATAGAGTCATGTATTTTAATCATTTTTTTTCTCATAATTGCACATTGTCAAGAATGCTTTCTTTTTTCTTCAGGAAGAAGAGTTGAGAAAAAGTGGAGAAGCAAAGTACTTCCACCTAAATGATGATCTGCATGTTCTCATTGAAGTTTTTGCCCCTCCAGCAGAAGCATATGCTCGAATGGGACACGCTTTGGAAGAAATTAAAAAGTTTCTCATTCCTGTTAGTATAGTAATTTTATTTCTTCTAAATAATATACTTAAAACAGTAACATATGAAATTCTTTCTTCAGTTTCCTTGTGAGATTCTTATCTGCATTTTGTACTATGATATCTTTGTTTAACATAACTTTCTAAGCCCCATTACAAGTGATTATGGATGATAAGAGATTTGATTAAGCGTATTACATAGATAAGGTAGGAAGGGCAGGGGTGAAGCTTGCCATCCTTACCATCAGTTTTTTTAGCAAAATGGTTTAGCATGGGTTTTTGGTGTCTGTGACCTATGTGCTAGGTACTGTATTAAATACTGAGAATAGAAATAAAGACTTGGACCTCTAATATCACTGTTATAGAGGACTTCCTAGATGGAGGAACAAATGTCCAACAATATATACAGGTACCTTTTCTGCAACTTAAATTCTTTGAGAATTTTCTAGAGCTAGATCTTTGTTCACTAGCAAAAAAAAAAGTAAACAAAATTGTGTGATAGCGCAGTCCTGGAAAATAGGGTTAGAAATGCTCATTCAAAGAATGAGCTACATATCATAGGGCAATCTAAGGGTAAGAAAATGAGAATTTTTTACTTTATTATACTCTACTAACAAAGTAATTCCTGTTTTTCCTTTCCATTAACCTGTACCAAAATATCGTCTATCATATGTCCACCATCGGACTTGCTCAAATGTGTATATATCTTCTGGGTTTCTTTTTACTTTTCCTGCTATAATTATGAATTTCACAAGCACCAACAAAGATTTCACTATTTTTTAAATACTTAATTTATTCTAGTTTTCAGCATTCACTTCCATAAGATTTTGAGTTTTGAATTTTAACAGATTTCACTATAAAATAAAAAGAATAAAGGAGACTGCTTATGAAGCCATGAATCCCTACTACCTATGATTTTTTTAAAAAGTACATTTCAAATTTAAAATGATATAGTCATTTTCTTGGTGTCCAGTTTGACCCTTATTATTTTCTGAATTATCTTTAACTCTCTCCTATGTATTTTTAAATACTTCATTGACATTCTTTTATTCTTTTTTGGAGTCATTCTTACCTCTTCACTCTCCCTATAACTTTAATCTTGACTCCCAAATAAAAGCCCTCCTTTATACCAAATAAATATAGCTAGTGAGGCAGCGAACTAAAGGCGCAGAATGAAACATCAGTGTCCCAAACATCATAGTGCTGCTTTAAGCTTCAACACCTTTTATACCTTAAAATGACACTAAGACATTTGGGAAACCCTGTAATTTTGGACACAGATAATCCTGGAATATTTTTCTTTGTGCATATTAGTTATAAGAGTTTGTTTTTTTTTTTTTAATCCCCGCCACCTAACCCTCTCATTGAGGATGTGTGTGTGTGTTTTTTTTTTAATATTTCATTAATTTTTGTATTTTTTTTTATTTATTACTTATTTTGATTTATCACAATCACTTCTATATGCTTTTGAGTTGAAAGTTTTTCTCTCCCTTCCTCCCCCCACCCTCCCCAAACGGCACACAATCTGATAGGCTTTACATTTATATTCCTCTTAAACATATTTTCACATTAGTGAAGTTGTAAGTAAAAATTAAAACCAGTAGGAGGAACTATCAGAAAGATGAAACAAAACTCAACAAAAGGTAAAAATAAGTGATAGCGTTCTCACTTCCATAGTTCTTTCTTTGGATGTGGACAGCATTTTCCATCCGAGGCTCTGGAGATGTCTTAGATCCTCATGCTGAGAAGGGTTCAGTTTAACAATATTAGTCATCACAAACGTGGCTGTTATTGTGTACAAAGTCCTCTTGGTTCTGCTCACTTCACTCAGCATCAGACTATAAGTCTTTCCAGGTTTTTCTGAAGTCAGCCTGTTCATCATTTCTTATAGCACAATAGTATTCCATTACATTCATATACCACAACTTGCTCAGCCATTCCCCAATTGATGGGCATCCTCTCAATTTCCAATTCTTTGCCACCACAAAAAGAGCTGCTATGAATATTTTTGTACATGTGGGTCCTTTTCCCATTTGTTTGATCTCTTTGGGATATAGCCCTAGAAGTGCTATTGCTGGATCAAAGGGTATGCACATTTTGTAGCCCTTTGGGCATAGTTCCAAATTGTTCTCCAAAATGGTTGGATCATTTCACAACTCCACCAACAATGTATTAGTGTTCCAATTTTCCCACATCTCTCCTGTTTTGTCATGTTGGCCAATCTGATAGGTGTGATGTGGTACCTCAGAGTTGTTTTGATTTGCATTTCTCTAATCAGTAACAATTTAGAGCATTTTTTCATATGACTATAGATGGCTTTAATTTCTTCATCTGAGAACTGTCTGTTCATATCCTTTGACCATTTATCAATTGGGGAATGGCTTGTGTTCTTATAAATTTGTCTTAATTCTCTATATATTTTAGAAATGAGGCCTTTATCAGAGAGACTGGTTGTAAAAATTCTTTCCCAATTTTCTACCTTCCTTCTAATCTTAGTTGCATTGGCTTTGTTTGTGCAAAAACTTTTCAATTTAATGTAATCAATTATCCATTTTGCTTTTCATAATGTTCTCTATCTCCTGTTTGGTCATGAATTCTTCTGTTCTCCATAGATCTGATAGGTAAACTATTCCTTGTTCTCCCAGTTTACTTATGGTATCAGCCTTTATATCTAAGTCATGAACCCATTTTGACTTTATTTTGGTATATGGTGTGAGATTTGGGTCTATGCCTAGTTTCTGCCATACTCTTTTCCAGTTTTCCCAGCAGTTTTTTTCAAAGAGTGGGTTCTTATCCCAGAAGCTGGGGTCTTTGGGTTTATCAAATAATAGATTACTATAGTCATTGACTACTGTGTCTTGCATATTTAACCTATTCCACTGATCCACCTCCCTATTTCTTAGCCAGTACCAAGCAGTTTTGATGATGCTGCTTTATAATACAATTTAAGATCTGGAATTGCTAGGCCACCTTCCCCTGCATTTCTTTTCATTAGTTCCTTTGATATTCTGGACCTTTTGTTTTTCCAAATGAATCTTGTTATTATTTTTTCTAACTCTATAAAATAATTTTTTGGTAGTTTGATTGGTATGGCACTGAATAAGTAAATTAGCTTAGGTAGGATTGTCATTTTTATTATATTAGCTCGGCCTACCCATGAGCAACTGATGTTTTTCCAATTATTTAGATCTGATTTTATTTGTGTGAAAAGTGTTTTGTAATTGTGTTCATAGAGTTCCTGGGTTTGTTTCGGAGGTAGACTCCTAAATATTTTATAATGTCTACAGTAAGTTTAAATGGGATTTCTCTTTCTATCTCTTACTGTTGGGCTTTGTTGGTAATATATAGAAATGCTGATGATTTATGTGGGTTTATTTTATAGCCTGCAACTTTGCTAAAGTTGTTTATTATTTCAAGAAGTTTTTTACTTGATTCTCTAGGATTCTCTAAGTATATCATCATCATCTGCAAAGAGTGATAGCTTTGTTTCTTCTTTGCCTATTCTAATGCCTTCAATTTCTTTTTCTTCTCTTATTGCTAAAGCTAAGGTTTCCAGTACAATATTGAATAACAGTGGTGATAATGGACATCCTTGTTTCACCCCGATCTTATTGGAAATGCTTCTAGCCTGTCCCCATTACATATAATGCTTGCTGAAGGTTTTAGATATATGCTATTTATTATTTTAAGGAAGACTCCATTTATACCTATGCTTTCTAGTGTTTTTAATAGGAATGGGTGTTGTATTTTATCAAAAGCTTTTTCTGCATCTATTGAGATGATCATGTGGTTTCTGTTGGTTTTGTGTTGATATGCTCAATGATGCTGATAGTTTTCCTAATATTGAACCAACCCTGCATTCCTGGTATAAATCCTACCTGGTCATAGTGTATTATTCTTGTGATAAGTTGCTGCAATCTATTTGCTAGTATTTTTTTAAAATTTTTGCATCTATATTCATTAGAAAAATTGGTCTATAATTTTCTTTCTCAATTTTGACTCTTCCTGGTTTAGGTATCAACACCATATTTGTATCATAAAAAGAATTTGGTAAGACTCCTTCTTCACTTATTTTCTCAAATAGTCTATATAGTATTGGAATTAATTGTTCTTTAAATGTTTGATAGAATTCGCATGTAAATCCATCTGGCCCTGGAGATTTTTTCCTAGGGAGTTCATCAATGGCTTGTTCAATTTCTTTTTCTGAGATGGGGTTATTTAAGTATTTTACTTCCTCTTCGTTAATCTGGGCAATTTATATTTTTGTAAATATGTATCCATTTCACTAAGATTGTCAAATTTGTTGGCATATAGTTGGGCAAAATAATTCCTAATTATTGTTTTAATTTCCTCTTCCTTGGTGGTAGCTTCACCCTTTTCATTCTTGATACTAGTAATTTGGTTTCTTCTTTCTTTTTTTTAATTAAATTAACCAAAGTTTTATCTATTTTATTGGTTTTTTCATAAAACCAGCTCTTAGTTTTATTTATTAGTTCAATAGTTTTCTTAATTTCAATTTTATTAATTTTTCCTTTGGTTTTCAATATTTCTAATTTGTGTTTAGTTGAGGATTTTTAATTTGTTCTTTTTCTAGTTTTTTTAGTTGTATGCCCAATTCATTAATCTCCTCTTTTTCTATTTTATTTATGTAAGCATTTAGAGATATAAAACTTCCCCTAAGAACTGCTTTCACTGCATCCCATAGGTTTGGTATGTTGTCTCATTATTGTCATTCTCTTGAATGAAATTATTGATTGTTTCTATGATTTGTTGTTTGACCCAATCATTTTTTAGGATTAGATTATTTAGTTTCCAGTGTTTTTTAGTCTATCTTTCCATGGCCCTTTATTACATATAATTTTTATTGCATCATGATCTGAAAAGGATGCATTTAATATTTCTGCCTTTCTGCATTGGATTGTGAGGTTTTTATGCCCTAGTACATGGTCAATTTTTGTGTATGTACTGCTGAGAAAAAAGTATATTCCTTTCTATCCCCATTCAGTTTTCTCC